AAGGGGTTATCTCTACCACTCATTACTAACCTTACACAGCACAGATGTCCTCAGGTTAGTTCTTGCATACAGGGCCTCTCACCTGTTCCAGCACCAAGCATAGTGTGATATGGCACCTTCTTGACCATAGCTATGCCATGTTAAAGTTTAGGCTGACTCTAATTTCTGAAATTATCAGGAAGTTGTCCGAGGTTGTGGGAACACATGTCAGCAGGACCCCAGTTGTCTTGGGAACAGGCCAACATGTTCTGGAGTGCACCTGCTAACTGCAGATTTATGGCTTCTGTAGGGTACGCTTGGCTTGCTTCTGCAAAATAGTAATTGTTGCTTAATAGAATAGAAATTTTTAAGGGGGCTTTGTACTAAGCTTAGGAACTTAAACTTTTCACCCTTGGTTATGGTTTCGCTGCATAAAAGCTTACCCTAGAGACAATTCTTGTGTAGTTGCTGGCCAGCAAAGACTCTTACTGGGCAAAACTTTGTCTTCTCTGATGAATCACCTCACAACAGTAATCCTGCACCCTGGTGGGACAGATTCACATTTTGGCCTGCTGCCACCTATGGCATGACCATGGATGTACCTTTGAGACTGTGCAGGTTATTCTGGCTATGAGGTTCATGTGCGACCCAAGTTACCACCAGACATCATGGCTACAGGACTTCCTTCACCAGCACAGCAGTATAATAAGAAATATGACCCTAGTCATAGGGATAGAAGAGGGTAGTGATCTCAGAACTTTGCCCTGGAACTTAGTGCTAGCACAACAAAACTTATCATCGGACAGAAGCTAAAGGTCCCTTCTCCTGTGCCTGCCTGTAGATGGCCCCTTTGGAACAGCCACATACCTAGGGAAAGACAGGTGGCTTCACTCTTTCGAACATCTATTCCAATCAGCATCACCTGTGGCTGATTGTGGACATCTACTACAAGACTAGTTCAATAGTAGGCAGAATATAACAATATAGGCCTTTGTCCTGCCTCAGCATTGTGCTTGTTTTGATGGGCTCAGGCATGTCATGCATCTTGGTTGCTCTGTTAGTCATAGGCATGGTTTAGAGAACAGATATATGCCCTGCATTAGTTATTTTCTCATAACTGTCACCAAATACCTGAAAAAAAGCAATGTAAGGGAAGAACATTTATTTTGGTTCACAGTTCATCATGACAGAGGAGACATGATAATGGGAGTGGTTTGGTCTGAGGTGCCAACCAGAAGAAGAGGGAATGTCAGTCCTCATATCTGACTTCTCCTGTAGAAATGACTTTTATAAATGGACATAATCTGGCGTAATGACTTTTTGGGTGGTATTTTAGAGACAGGGTCTCCCTGTAGCCACAGCTGGTCAAGAACTCCCTATGTAGACTAGGCTAGCCTTGAACTCACAGAGTTCCACCTGCCTCTGCCTCCCCAGTGCTGGGATTAAAGGTGTGCACCCAGCTGGGCTAATGACTTTCAATTAATCTCAGAAAACACGTGCTTTTGTGACCTGGGTACCTGATCTTGTTTCCTTGGCAACCTCAATTCCACCCAAGAAGATAATGAGTGAATGAATGAATTAATGAAATGAATGAGTGTATGCTCGAGAATTGACATATTAAAGTGTTGAAAGACAGTGCACCCATTGCACACAATGAAGACTGGGAAGGAGGATTGGCCTTGGGTGAATGGGATTAGGGATGAAAAGGCCCAATGGTCTGTTAAGATCAGAATGGAGCCAAACTTTTACTTCACCAATTGAAGCTGGAGATATCATTTTGAATAAAATTATGGGTAGGGCCTGCGAAGTCATAGTTCAAGAGACAGAGTTCCAACAAGACAGTTCCATCAGCACAATTCCAGGGGAGAGAGATGGTTCCAAGAAATATCTGGGGGGAATGAGTGTTCTCTGCGTTTGGGCCTACCCTTAAAAATGAAATGTTAAGACTCCGGCTTTTTTGTTCAGGTAATTATTATGTTGGCATAGTAGTGCTGTACTCCCTTTTGTTTTTACCCAGTCTGGGATAGACCCCAGACTATGAGAGAATGGCTACCAACCTCATTTAAACTGTTCTGGAAACTCCATCAAAGATACACCCTGAGGTGTGCCTCTTCAGCGATTCTAAATTCAGCCAAGCTGACAAAGAACATTAAACTCATAACTGGGTAGACTCCCCCAGCACATGACCAACTGTCTCTGCTCAAGGCTCGTGGGGATGCATTACCCTTTCTGGGAACTCCCAGTCCCTGTCCATCTGTAGTTATGGGACAAACGTGGCCTATGATGGCTCTCTTGTACTGAAACAGGGACAACACAACAACAGCAGGCTTATGACAAATCTGGTCGAGCAATGAAAGAGTGGAAGTCGGTAAACAGCTCAGAGAAAATAAGCAGCCTTCTTTGATTTCTGTAAAGATGGGCACACACACAAAAGCCAGATTACAGTTATTGGAATAAATACCTGATTTTTCAAATCACATGTGATGTCTCTCACCAACTATCAAGAGCTTTTACCAAAAAAAATTTTTTTTGAGACAGGGTCTCACTATGCAACCCTGCCTGGTCTAGAACCTACTATGTAGACCAGGCTGACATTGAACTCTCAATGATCCACCTGCCTTTGTCTCCCAGGTACTGGAATTAAAGACGTGCAACAAAGCTTTTAGAAAATTTAACCTTCCGTAATGGTCACAATATGTGCCAAAAATCAGCCAAATAGTAATCAGGAGGGAGCTGAAGCTTTAAGAAGACCCAGTTGAATGAGTCAATACTCTAACAAAGAAATTTAATAGACAGATGGAAGCAATTAAGAAAATCATACACTAAATTTAAAATGCAATATAAGGCATCAATAATAGAATCAATCAAACAGGAAAGAGAATTAGAATTAGAGGTGGTTGAAGTTATGGAATTAGAAATAGTACACCTATTTTATATACCTGGGCAGAATAAAATTTTCTTGGGCAAAAGGGGTCATGAGTAGAAAAGCTTAAGAAGCCTTGACATAAGGGTTGTCCAGCTGGCTGTTTGATTGACAGCCCTTTTTGCTCAAGGCAGGTGGGGAAACCAGGGAGTTTAACAGCTGCCAGTTAAGGAGTCAAATTGCCTTATCCTCCAACATTTTTGCTTATTTTTTAAAAATCTATTTTTATTTATTTATTATTATTATTATTATCATTTTTATGTGTATGCATGTATTGCCTGCATGTAGGTAAGTGCACCTGTGTCATACAATGCCCTCGGAGGTCAGATCTGCAAGAACAACCAGTGTTCTTAAACACTGAGCCATCTCTCCAGCCCCATTTTTGCTTATTTACAAGAAAATGAACATGAAAAGGAATGTTTACAATAAGACTTAAAGAGCTAGTTATTAACAACGATAGTGATTTTTGTTTGTTTTTTTGAGACAGGCTCTCCCTGTAGCCACAGGTGTCCTAGAACTCACTATGTAGACCAGGCTGACCTCAATCTCACAAAGATCCCCTGCCCCTGCTTCCCAGGTGCCTCCTAAGTGCTTGGATTAAAGGTGTGCTCCACTAAACCCAGTTAACAATGATAGTGATTTTTAACTGAATTTAGTTGTGCTTTGACAAAGTTTAACACCTGCCCCATGCTCAGGGGAGATGGGTCCCCCTTATCTGTCTCATCTACAGTGCTACAACTGAAATTTATTCACTCAAATATCTTAAACCATTTCAAATAAACAATGAACAAATATCTTGAGCGTTAATATAATAAGTTATATTCTGATATATTAGTCCTTGTGATAGCTGATTTTGGTTGTCAACTTGACTGGATTTGGAATTAACAGAAATGTGAGAGACTTGTTTGATCAAAGTATTTGAAGCCAGAAGACCCACTCTAAGTGTGGGTGATAGCTTCTGGTGTCAGGCTGTATTGACGGATATGGCAGAAGGGAGCAAGTTGCCTGCTTGCCTTCATTCGTACTGATGAGTTTATCTTGTTGTCATGGCATTCCTTTGCCAATATTAGAACTAACGTCTTTGGGTTCCAACATAGACTAAAGACAACGTCTCTCCAGGAATTCTCCAGGGCCCCTGCACCAGATTGGGACTGCTGAAACATCTAGCCTAGTGGACCAAGCAACTACTGCATTCTCAGCCTTTCCAGTGTGGCACAGCCATCTGTGGACTAGAAAAAGCCTGAAAGCAAATCACTTTAAAACTATAATAGGTAAATGCTCGGAGAAGAAAAATCTGGGAATCATAAAGATGTCTTTGTCTTGGGAAGAGATGCCACACCTTAGCAGATACTTTATCTCTTAAGCTTTGTTATTACTAAAAGGCAAAACGTAAGGAAGTGATGCCCTTGCTGTAAACTCTTTGCTCTTTCCAATGCTATAAGCTAGTCTTCTCCTTATCCTAAATCATGTCCGTTGGTACCTTCACCAAAAATAGAAGAATCATAGCTGTATAGATGATGTAGCTTCTCATTTTTGGTCTCATAGACTCCCATTTAATTGATCTTAAATTCTTGAAACTTAATAGGCACTAAAAAATTTAATAATTATTTTTCTTAATAAGCTTTTTGGTAAAGGTACTGTCAAAAGTCTGAGACATCTCTACTCAAGGGAGGGAACGGTATGAAGAATATTTGCTTCGCACATGCAAGGTCTTGAGTTTAAGCCCCAACGCTGCAAAACATTAATGGAAACATGACTCCTAAGAACTACTTTTTATAGTAACAGATGATTCGTTTTGGAATAAAGTACATTCTTCGAAACCCTAGTTATAAACAAGTTTCTTCTGTGCGTTTGACATCTATCGAAAGAACTACAATTCCCATCACACCCTGCGGTTCTCTTTGGCCAACTATTAGGTGCGTCATTTCCGTTCCCTCAGCCGAAGGATGCTGGACTTCGTAGTTCATATGGACTGCTCTTTTTCTCGTGAACTTGTGAAGAAGACAGGGTGGTTAAATGGACTGCTTTGAATCTGGTGTTTCCATAAGGTATCACCATTAATCTAACAGTATAGTATAGCAAAGTCAATTCACGATCAGGTTTTCATCACGCTCCACCTTCCTATTGGCAGCACCCGGGAAGGGGAAATGACGCACTTCCGGTGTAATGGCGCCGCGGTGGAGCTTTAGGTAATTACCGAACTCTGTAACTCCCCATAGACCGGAACCCAGGGTGGGGGTAGCGGGTTGCCCTATCGTGTAGATTATGATGGGGCCTGAGAGTGGGCACCGGCATCGTGGGCCCCGTGGGCCTCGCTGCACGCGCGTGGCTCTGCCTCCGCCGCCGTCCCGCGAGGTGCGGTGTGAGCGGGCTGGGCCTATGGTAGGCGAGGCGTGCGCCACTGGGCACTCGGCCCGCCAGCGCCGGCGACCCTGCGTCCTGTTTGCCCCCCGGCCGGTGCAGTTCGGCTTGCTGAAGGCCAGCGCGGGCGCTGGTTCCCTCACTTGCCCGGCGCAGTGTTTCCGACGCTGATGTCTAGGGACTTGAGTCCACCGATTTGCTGAAGCCCCTTCCCAGAGCCAGGATCCCAGGGCCCCGCGCTGGAATAATAAACTGTCGTGACGCTCTTGCCTCTTTCCAGTATAATATCCCAGCGACTGGCTCTTCTAGAATTTCATTTGCCATTTATTTTTCATTAACTTGACCTGTAAATACTGGCCCTTCGTTGTATTTAGCCCTGGTGTTCTTTGTTTCTCATTTTGTGTTCGTCTGTCTTCCTTTGTCCTTCCCATAACTTGAATTATCTAAGTAATTGGATAACTCCCAGGCTTGGGTCTGCAGTCTCCACCTCTACTGAGTTGCAGGCCCTGAAATACATTTTCCTAGAAGTAGTGTACCAGTTATTTTTACCTAATTTCAAAAAGTACTTCATGCATTTATAATCATTAGTAAGTCCGTGAGGTAAATGGAGAATAACTTGAGGAAAGTAAATGCAAGACTTATAAGTATGGTAAGAGTTTCCTTTTCCATTTTCACATGTCCTCAGACTAGAGATAGCAGGTAAGCAAACTTTGTTTTCACACCCGTTCATTGGCTCCCATCCTATAAGTCTGCGAATGCAGGAGGTATATGGAAAACTAAATTTAAAACTGACCGTAAAGATGTGATTTTTTTTTAAAAAAAAAAAAACAGGAGAAGCATTGCTACAGGCAATATCTGTAGGAAGAAGAAAACTGCTTAAGTTGATGTTGAGTTGATGGATCTAGCAAGCCAAAATTTTCAGTCTTACTCCAACACTTACTAGACCTGTCACTTGAGGAAAGTTACTTGACGTCTATAGTCTAAGCGTCCTCATTTGTTAAAAAACAAAAAACAAATATATATATATATGTACGTATGTGTGTATATATAGTAATAATGCTTTTTAACCAAACCAAACATCTGGTCCTCAGTTTGGGAAGCACTGCCCTAGCACATCTTCTAGGGATGTGATATGATCATCCCTGCTCTCCAGTCAGGGTTGCTGCCTAACTTGCTTTGAAGTATTTGGCCCATGGCCAGCCAAGTTTTCTCTACTACATTATACTACTACATCCTTCACTACTTTGAATAATTTAGCTCAGTCACTTTTGGAGTTTTGACATGTCCTAGACAACTATCTTTCCCTAAACAAGTTTCCTTAGCTCTATCATTTTTCCCAGTTGCTGAGTTATTAAAGGTTAACTTTCCTCTCTGACCATTATATGTTGCAGAATGACTGACCTACAGTAGCTTGTTCCTGAGACTACTCAGAAGATGACAGGGTGTTACCCCGTGTGTGTGTGTGTGTGTGTGTGTACTTTTTTTTCTTTTTTTTTTTTTTTTTTTTTTTTTTTTTTTTTTTTAAACTAAAAAAAAAAAAAAAAAAAAAACTTACCCAGGTATGGGGGAACTTTGCTCAATTTCTGGGTATCCTGGCCAGTCAATAATGCCCCTTTATCCAGTGGCTATTTCTAAACCTACATAAAACATATTCTAATTCTTAACTCACTCTCTTTTCCTCTTTGACATCCCAGAGCTCTGTAACTTCTCAAGGAAATAGACACACAATTTATGCCAGCTGGCCTGGGACTCACTATGTAGACCAGGTTGGCCTTGAACTCACAGAGCTCCACCTGCCTCTGCCTCCAGAGTGCTGGGACTAAAAGCATGCACTACCTTGCCTAGCTACCTTGCATATTTTTAATGTTCATATTAAACCATGAACTGTATTTTCTGTTCATTGTGCACTATATTTAGACATTTTTACTCCCTGGCATATCCCTAAGTTGTTTATGTCTGGCCTAGGACTAGTCTGAGAAAGAAGTGAGTTTTGGTAACTTGGCTGATTCTGACTAATGTTTTCAAGGGCTTCTCTGTCAAATTTCACTGATTTTCTGTTTAAGTCTGATAACTAATGGAACACAGAGCCCTCTTGCGTACGAATTTCAGCAAACCCTCAGGCTTGTTACACTTTTTCTCAATATACATCTGTCAGAGACATTTCAAGAGACATTTGAATGCTTACAACAACACAAACTTTAAAGCTCTTCCTTAAAAGCTAGCACATGGGGAGAGGAGTGGATTAAAACAAGCCTTTGCCATTTGTCGCCAAATCAGTAAGTTCCAGTGAACAGAAAGTAGAAAAGGGGGTATGGTGCTCCCTTTGTTTGGAGAAAGCTTCAGTGATTAAAGAATTAACTAGTGTGAGAGACCCAGAGTTCACTCATGGTTAACCAACCTGTCTCTGAGCCTAACTCATCAGTGGCTCAAGCTAGACAGAGTTCAATACTTGAAAAGTTACTCCATGGGTTTTCCCCTGAATTAGTTTAGCTTCATTCTGTACCTGGTGACCAGAGCTTCTGTTGTGGGATGTAGTGCTGTGTGCCTAGATGCTACTTTGTAAATTTCTCTGTAGTGACCAATGAATCTCAAGTTTCTTCTAAACCAAACTGTGTTCAGAAAAATGGCCAATAGTCAGAAAGGCCATTTTCAAAGCCATTCTTTGAGAATACACAGAATGGCACAGTATATTTAGTCTCTACATATGTAGCCAGCCAAACTGAGGAACAGAGTTAGGGGAAGGGGAGTAGTATGAAGGTAGGCTGAAGGCCTAAGCTGCACTTGGGTTTCGTAAGTGGAAAGAACTGTGTGGTTGGGGTCACATTTCCTCTTAAAATGGCAGAGAGGGCACTGACAAGTTTCCATTTCTATAAAGATCTGAGCCAAAGAGTCATGGCTCCTGATGGTGCTGCCTTGATGTAGGTAGTCAGTTTGGCGGGTCCAAGGGGAAGGAAGAGATATTCTTTATAAGTTGTCAGAATAGCATTAGAGTGCTGTGTGGAGATGAGATACTCATCAAAAAGCCACATTCTTTTAAAATTTAGTTTTAGAATTTGGGCTTACCAGGTGTTCAGTACTGTTTTAGCTTCTAGACAGAATTTCAAGGAGCCATTGTGCCCTCAGTAGGCATTTCATACTTTAGCTTCATGGGCCTTATGTTTCCCCCTTATTTATATTTTAATTTCTCTGTGTTCCCTTTTCTCAAACAACTTGAAATTTCCCAGCCTTTTCTCTTAAGATGTCTCTGAGCCTGTACACATGCTGGTCCCATTCTCCAGATGACCTTTTCCCCCTTTCCATGTGGATAATTCCTACTTGTCCCTGAGGATTGGGCATCAGTACCTCCTTTCTGTACGTCCCAAACCAACTTGGTTGCACTTTCTTTTCCAAAAGTACTGTGTATGTCACATAGCTGAAGCACTTAGACATTTCTTCTCTCCCTTAAGGATAAGAACACGTTGATGTCTTGTGTGTATTAATGCAATATTACCTCACTGCACATACACTGCTTTTACCTGAAAGACTATAGCTAATGCCTCATTTCCCCTCAGCATTTTACTTCCTCATTTTCTCTCTCGTGCTTCCCCATTTTTTCTGAGTCACTGCTTAATGTAAATATCAGCTGTGGCTCCATCCAGCTTCATCATTTTGGGGTCCTATTTTTTCATACAATTTTCAGTTGCTATAGCCTCAGAGAGACGCTTCTGCACACATACAAACTTGAACAAATGAAGGAAGTATTTGGCATGTGTGTAAAAGCTACTTACCTCAAGGCATGTACTATCTATTGACTGTCGTGACAATCGTGATAGTAGTTTGAAATTTAAGGTTTTGTTTGGTCTTTGTTATGAAAATGGGCATAAGTTTAATCAGTAGATTAAGAGAAACCATAATAATATTCTTTGTTCAATGAATGATGCCAGGGTTACTGAATAAAATTAAATCCTGTTGCCAGGCACCTAAGCTATGAACCAAGAATGTATGGGAAGCTAGTCAAGAAGTGGTAGGCTTAGGAGAATATAATGCCAGTGATAGCAGGGCTCATGCCCCTTAGAGTTTGTTTTATTCAATAGCAGAAGGATTGCTACTGAGAAATTATGTTCTGTTAAAAAAAATAATAATGTACAGAGAAACACATTGTGGGCAGTAGACATAGAGACAGTTTCCATTAACAGCCTTTTAAGAAGGACATTTGGAAAGTATGAGATAATGCTGAGCATGTCTTAATGGAATGTGCTTTTAATTTGAAAGCCTAATTTCCCTGTGGGCCGCATTACAGATACTTGAAAGGATCCTCTTGCCATATATATATATATATATAGCCAATTTTAGCATTCATGGGAAATTTATAATTTTTTACAGGTAAGTTGGAAAAATTCTTTCAGCATAGTGATAAAGACTTTGTAAGAAAAATTGCTAAGAGAGCACAAAACCAGTCTACCTTCTAAAATGAAACTGAGAGGGTGTCATTAGGAAGCTTCTCTAAATGGAGCCTTCTTCCACCAGTCTCCTAGGTAGAGTGGCAGAGGATGGGGGAATGCTGAGGCAGATTTACTTCTCCTATTACATGAACTAAGTAAAAGTAGGACTTGGTGACTGGGCATAAAGAAAAGTGCCACTTAGGAACATGTATGGTAGAGGAAAAGCTGGTTTGAGGTGGGGAGACAGAAACAAGAGTTCCAATTTGAACTTCTATTTGGAAGGCCATTGGGACATCCACATAGAGCTTTCCTCAAACTGACTGGACCTCTGAGTTGGCACTCCATAGAGATGATTGGGCTAGTATGAATACATGTTATCAAAACTCTGGAGATAGAGATGGTCTTCC